GCTCCTTCTGGAAAAAAGAACAAGTTGTCTTAAATGTAGCTGAGAAAAGACATCTTTTGAGAAAACGTAATTTGTGTATGAATGAAGGGCACAGCAAGCCCCTCTGAAGCTCCAAGGTCCACTTCTTCATGGTGCTTGTTATGGTTTGGTTTGGTTGGGCAATTCCACATGAATGGGACAATTCCAGATGAACGTTTTAATAAATGGTGTTCAGGCTAGACATTGTTCACTCATGCTAATTCCCATACCTCAGAACCTTTCGGTGCATGAATCTATTCAAGATATTAGAGGGCATGTACCGCATCCAGCGCTATTCTACATATACGAATATGCGCATAGTGCAGGGTATTGAGCCGGTATGGAGTTCAACTGGAAATCCATACACTAAATAAAATGGGGAAATGACGCCATAATGACTCGGTTTTGTACGAAGAATAGAACATTTTCGGCTTTGGGCTGCAACTATCTGATACATCTGGCATAGTGATTAAGGTCTCAGTATTCTAAGCAAAAATATTATGGCCAATTTTGGCTTCTTCAGCTCGGCTAAGTATCCAACCACAAAAATATTGGAAAAATTGCAGAAATTGTCAATCATTTAGTAAAATATCTATGGGCTTTGCTAAAGGATAGACTAACTCCCAATCTAGATTCTTCATTTGAGATGGATTCTCATGGTAAAAAGTCACTCGGTGTTGTCATGCCTGTAGTGGCTAAATAAAGAATAGTTCAGTGACAGGATCTGCTCATTTTGTCCAGAATGTTAGTTACAGCCATCCCCACCAGTAACACAATATTGTCTTTCTAGCGTGCAGTTGAACTGCTGCTATGTTGCTCAATAGTCTGTTGTGCATACATTCATTAACATGATCCTTTTATCGTCGTTATTGAAAAGTGTCATCGAATTTCCATTTGACGGTTTCGAAGGTAATTTATCTTACTCATGAGTATGGCATACACACAACACAGGCACATCAATGAAGCTAAAATAAGCCTCAGTATTACAGGACCATAATTTATTTATTTACATAAAGAAAAGTGGTTACAGCAAACACTCCCCTTCCTGCATCAACTTCACTCATCTACATGCAGTCTATCCTGGATGAGGATACCTTTTGGGAAAAATTCAATGGAAATGTAAGGTCTACTCATATCATTGTGGGAAAATTCAAATATTAGTTCCCCTATCACCCTGAACGAAATAAAAAGGATACATTTCTATCCAGTGTAACGACGTGCTATTAAAAAAAGGCCACCAAAAGTTGCCCTAGTTTAGTAATACCGAAAGGTCTACCTCTGAGATATGTCACCAATATACGGGATAATATTCTTCACTAATTGTCTAAAAGCGAGACAGACTTCCATGAAAAATGGTAATCATTCCTAACAGAATAGTTATAAAGTAGAACTTTAACGAAATTGTGAATTTGACAAGAAAACAACTGATTGTTCTCCAAATGAATCTGTGAAAATGGAGATATGTGCCACAATGAGAAAAGAAGAAAAGGAGGAAAATTTTAGCTACATGGCATGTAGTGAAGGGGGTGACAAATATTTAACACGTCTTATGTATCCGATTTACTGGTAGCCGCGAAAACCAACTTACAAACAAAAAATAAGTAATCGAAGGTATGAAGGCTAGGATAGTGTGGCCTTTTGTATGGTCGCGGTCTCCTTGGTTTCGCAACTTGGTCGTATTAGCAGGAAGACTTAGAGGAATGCAACTTGTCCGGAGTCCATAGTATGCCTGACCATTTCCAGAGTCGGATCGTGGACTTAGTACATTCCCGAAGGTTTCGTTAAAGAGACAAGTGAAGTCAATCCCTTGACCAACTTTCTGTCTAGACGGTTGTACTATCACATCGCTTTCTGTCCTATCCACAATCCACTTCCTACCCTCTTGTCTCGTCCTCGTCCTATCACAACTTCTGGCATGTTTCTTATTCCACAAGAGGTGTGCCCTTTTGGCGAATTCACCGTGGCGTCTTCATTTCGTTTGAAGAGGCGAGTGAAAGGGAATCGTAAGTTGGCTTCACCGGAGGCTGTTGGGAGTTGCCTTGGAGCTGTGGTTGTAGATTTGTGCTAATAGGTCTTCGGCACACCACCCTGCGACGGACATCGTCAGAGCAGGACACCATGCTTCATCAAGAATAAAGACCGGACAGAAGATCAACAAGGATTCGTCGCGGTCGCAGGACGGTGAACCGAGGACATATACGCACAAATCTACAACCACAGCTCCAAGGCAACCTCCCTACAGCCTCCAGTGGAACCAACTTACGATTCCCTTCCCCTCGCCTCTTCAAACGAAATGAAAGTTA